GTCCTCGTCGTTGTTCCTGTGTAACGCGAAATGTAGTTTCTCGGAAAAATTCAACGCTATCTATCACGAATGAAAAAAATTGTTTCAATAAAAATTTCACGTACAATCTAATTCTGCAATGAAAAATGTGGGTCCCCATTTGAGATTTGAACGTTATCACCCACCCTACCCCGAAAGGATGGGGGGGAATAACTTTTATTATGTTCTTTAAAAATATTGAACAGGTATTTTTTATTTCTCAATCCAATGATCATTTCTGGAGAATTGCGGAAAATATAATTTTTTGCGATTACAGCGCCATCTATCACGAATCAAAAAAAAAGTTTCGGACAAAATTTACGTATTTTGTGGCGTAGAATCCGTATCTGCAATAAAAAATGGGGGTTTCCATTTAAGATTTCAAAGTTGCCCCAACTCCCACCCCCAGGGGGTGGGGTGGGAGGTCGAGTTTGGTATCATTGGATGTCCCCCTTCGAGACTAATAACTTTCATTGACCACTTTTTTTTATCCAATGCATAGTTCTCGAGATATTTCAATGTCTTCAGATAAATCGTGCACCCTGTATACCAGCAGAAGAAGCAATTGCTATATGAAGTTGCGTTACCGAGTCGAACGTTACAGTATTGACATTATTTTTTAGCGCAAGCCACCATGTTATCGGTTTTATATTTTTAATTGATTCATTGGATTCCCTAGGAAAAAGATAATTTTTAAATGGAGAGGTTTGTGCTCGGTAACACATAACGTCAGACATGTCTGCAGGGTGATACGAATTGACATATTCTATGGCTTCATCTAATTGTTCTTGACTTAACTGAAGTCCTCTAAATCGATGATCTAGCAAATTTGCTAAATAATGTGTAGGTGTCATTGCCATTTCGAAACGCTGCAGAACACAATTAAGATCAGACTCTTTAAAGTTTTGTTGAAGTTTAAAATGGTTTATTATTTCGATCCAAATTTCTGTAGTCTCACTAATTGTACAGCAATCTCGTTATACTTTGTTTAAAGCGACTGAAATTATAATACTTTTAGTTTTTCCAAATAATCAATTGCAATGTTTTTTAAATCTATATCGTTAATTTGGGATAAAATATCTAAGCTGATTGCTGCACGATTATCAGAGCAAACTTTAGACAAAATATGCCAGTTATTAATATATGATTCCAAACAATCCGCAAAGGTATTCTATCGGAAATCTTGTGGCATTACTGAAGCTTTTCCGCCTACTTGTTTATACTTAGCAGCAGCAAAATGCGTGTTTCGGAAGTACTTAATAATTTTTTTAATATGTCCTTTGATTCCAGGAATTTCAATATCGTGCGCAAGAAAATTTAAAATATGTGCGGAGCATCCATAAGTAATAATGTCAGGCATGCCAAGTTCTTCATATCTTGCTAATTGTTCTTTCATTTTACGCATATTTGCCACATTGTCAGTCACAAAACTTCTAACTCTGCAACCATGTTTTTGACAACTTTTAATTGATGTCACAGCCAAATTCAGCAAATATTCCGCGATATGGCTATTATCTTCGGTATCAACAGTATCACATAAATGCACAGTTTCGTCGATTATATCTGTCGCTGATATACACACTATAGATTCATTGTGAATGTTGCTCCATCCATCTTGAGCCATACAAACAGTCTTTCCATTTAAACAGTCTTTTATTTTAGTTAACTCTGAGTTAAATACTTCATCTAGTAATTCATTTGCGATTTGAAATCTTGAAGGTGGTTTATAGCCAGGATATAATAAGTTTATTAATTTTATAAATTTCGGGTGTTCCATATATTTAAAAGCTAATTTGTAGCATAAATATATCTTGTTACCTGCACGTCAAATTTTTTCTTGGTTGCAATAGATGTCCTCGTTATAAATGGTTCCATATCTAGTGCCTTCAATTTGGCTTGTGTTGGTATGGATGCTGTGAATGTTGATGTTGATAGAGTATATGTAACTATATCTGTCGCTGTAAATAAAATATTCAAAAGTCAGAAACTTTATATTTTACAGAAAATTTAATTGAACATGTAATAAAAAATACAATCTTTCTTTTGTTTCAAAAAAGAAAAATCTAAAATTAAGTGAAAATTATTATATACGTAGTCTGTTTTTAATGTTTTAATAATAAATATATTTATGTATATTAACTTGAGCAAGACGGAGATCGAGAACGAATACTGCTGCTATCAGAAACATTGGCCGTGTTCAGTAAAACAAAGAGCGCTTAGTGATTATTGTCTGTGATTGGAGCATTCTTTTAGATTCTTTATAGACCCAGAAATATTTACCAATCAGGAGCGAGATTCAGTGGAAAATTTAGTAATGTTGTCGAACTGTTGAGTCTGCTGAATGCAGCCATTGTCTTCATCAACATTAGGAAATTTGGGATTGCACTTTTTCACGTGCTTCTTCATTCTACTGACCAATCCTATCATAATTATATCATATTTTTTACATTTTGCTTTAACAGACTTATGTCCTTTAATTTCAATTAAATTATACTATACTGGATCCTTCTTTCTTCCCATCATTTTGTATTTTTTAAAAACTGAAACAACGTGATCGAAAGTGTAATATATTGAAAGTGATAAATTATAATTATAACAGTAGACAATACTATGAGTATAAAGTAAAATTATAAACCTAACAGTAACAACATTCTATATATTTGCGTTATTGTCACTTACTTATCTCGTGTTGAGTTGCAATATGTAGATTGATAATAAATTTAAGAACAAAATCAAAAGTGATACGACAGCAAAAACGATACGATAACGTCTGTACTTGTGTTGAAACTGTAAATAGCGTTGTCAACATTGGAACTAGAAGATACTCAAAGTATTGAGAGACATTGGCCACGTTCAGTAGAACAAAGTGATCAGAGAGCGCTTAGTGATTATTGTCTGTGATTGGAGCATTCTTTTAGATTCTTCATAGACCCAAAAGTATTTACCAATCAGGAGCGAGATTCAGTGGAAAATCTAGTAATGTTGTCCAACTGTTGAGCCTGCTGAATGCAGCCATTAACTATAAACAGCGCTGCGAATGGAGCGCTAGCGATAGCAGCGCTGCACCATAATTGTCTATGAAATATATCTAGATAGTGCTGAGAGAGATCGCACAAAGTAAAATAGCGCCACTCGGTATATTACGGATGCGTTCCGGAATTGATTGCTAGTACTAAAGATTTACACGTTCATGTCGCATATAGCCAGTTTCAGTACTGAATTTCAGAACACAGCTTATATGTAACTACATTCTGTGTTTTATGGGTGTGTTTGCGAAGCGACCTATCAAAGCTATGAACTTATTTTATATTTACTGCTTATTTAATGAACGATAAAGAGAGAATAATATTAATGAAGCCAGTAGCGCTTCTCAAATGTAGTCTATATAAGAAAAAAAGAAAGAGATTTGGCATGTTTGATTATAAAGAAATTGATTTGGGTATTATTAAAGAAGAAATTAAAAAATTGTTCTTTTTGGCTTGTTTAAAACATGTTCTTTTTTTTACTTAAAAAAACATGAATAAAACATAAAAACATTGCTTTAAAAAAAAACACTATTTTTTGTTTAAAATAAAAAAAATGTTTTTTATCAACTCTGGAAAGATGGGAGAAAGTTGTCGCTTTCAATGGGGCATTGAATAAAATTATTTTGTATTTTTTTGTTTAAATAAACGACTAATTTGTATTTAAAACGGGCGGTCATATTATTGGGTATGGAAACTTATTTCCATACCCAATAATATGACCTTGAATAGCGTTATTAAGGTTACAGAAAAGTTATTTTGAAGTTTTAAAATAGAAACTCCTGTTTTTTATTATATTATCTTTTTTACCAATTAATTTGAACAACTTTTGTCCGAAACATTTTTTATTTGCCTAATATTTTTTTAGATATTTAAAGGGTTTAAAGGGAAACTGCCTCTCAAAATTTCATCCTCTTTATGCTATCTCGATAATTATTGCAGATAGGAAAAAACTTTTTAAACAAAAATTGTATGGCATAAAAAACGTACAATTTTTGTTTAAAAAATGTTTTCCTATCTGCAATAGTTATCGAGATAACTTAGAGGGGATGAAACTTTGAGGGGCAGTTTTACTCCTTGAACCTGAGCCATTATCAATAAAAAAATATGAGTCTCTTATTTTCGGTTACTCTATAAATATACCAAGTTTTATCGAAATCGGAGACACACACTTTGTAGATATTTTTTGTAAGTTTTCCTTAAATATCTAAAAAAATATTAGGCAAGTAAAAAAATATTTCAAATAAAAATTGTTCAAGTTAATTAGTAAAAAAGACGGTATAATAAAAATTGTGGGTCTCTATTTAAAAAATTCAAAGTGACCTTTTTGTAACTTTGATGACGCAATCCAAGGTCATACTAGTATTAGTATGTGATGCGCCACTTAGAAGACCCTACAACTTTTGTATTTAACATTTTTTTTATCTTGCATATTTTCAAAGTTATTCAGGTAGCCTGTTTTAGAACTCACCTTGTGTATACATATAAGTAGCCTTAAATTAGGATATAAGATATTTTAAAAACGTCATAAACACGTTTTTCTTATAATTTTGTAAGTCGTCTTCTTCAAAATTTTAAACATTTTTTAATGCGTATTTATGAAGTCATTACACAAAATATCACAAAATAGTGTTTATAAATGAGCTATAAGTGCAAATCATATTAATAATAAAAAAATAGTATACGAATATATATTCAACTTTAAAATAACATAATAAGGGAATTTTCACTACTAACGTTTATTTATATTTACGGTCGTATTCAAATGCGTTTAAGTGCACTTAAGTAAACGATGGTTACCGTAATGGAAGTTCCTCTCAAATGTACTGAAATAATATTTTCAAGTTTGGAATTCATGTGATTCGCGTGTAGCATATCAATAGTATTGGTTGATGTTATGACAACTGCTTACGACGGTAGTATATAATTATCTGGCGCAACAGTATCGGGTATCAATCTGCGAAGTTTCGTCGAAGATGAAGATCCCAGCGATAATCGCAACGTCTCTCCTTCTCTGGGGTTTTGCCAGCGCCTCTGGGCCGTACATAATTGGCAAACCGGTGGCAGCCGCAACCGGCTCTTCTTCAGCTGAGGCGCTGACCAGTAGTTGGAGGAAAACGGGTGGTGCATATGCTGGTGCCAGCGCGGCTGCATCATCCAAGACTGGTAATAACATCCTTAGCCGTATGGGAACTACAAAACTAGCTACAACGATGGCAACATCTGCTGCAGTGGAAGCCAAAGCTGGTCTGCGGGCAAGCGAAATAGCTGCTAAAGAACAACGAGAAGCGCTGCAAATGCTCATTGAGTCCGCTGATAGAAACGCTAAGGCACGCATTCTCGCCGATGATGCAGCAATCCTCGTAAAAGGTAGTGCCGAGGCACAATCCGTTGCTGAAGCGAAAACTGTTGCAGTCGAAGAAACGTCCGCTTCTTTAGCCGCAGCTGCCATAGAGGCTGAGGCTATTGCTGGGGAGTTTAAAACAGCGGCCCAAGCGGCTCTCCAAGCTGCACAAACTTCTGCTATGTCTCTCAAGACTGCTGCCAGCACTGGTCTGATGGCTTTAAAGTTAATAAACAATCAAGGTGTAGCTTCTGAAAATGCTGCTATAAATATGAAGAAGGCAGTGGCTATTATTGAGGAGGCTAAGGTTGCCGCTGAGAAAGCTATGGCGGCTGAAAAAGCAGCAGCTGAAGCTACGGCTATCGCTGCTGCGAAACAATCGGAAGCTAGAGATATTGCCGCTGAGCTTAAAGCGGCTCACGCTGCACTTATTACCGCTCAAAGAAATCTTGTACAAGCCAAAGCTAAAGTGGTAATGTCCAACGAAGAAGTTCAGTTGGACTCGAAATCTAGAGCTGCTGATGCTAAAATAAATGCCATTGCTCGAGCGGCCGCCAAGTCCAGTATACGCAGGGAGGAACTAATTGAGATCGGAGCCGAATTTGGTAAAGCTAGTGGTGAAGTGATCGCTACTGGCACACGTTCTACCGGCGGAAAAAGCGCTGTTGCTACTGCTGAAGCCACAAGCAGTGCATCTGCAATTGGCATTAAAAAAGGACATAAGTGGGATTTTCACAAGAATCTGGGACACTCATATGCAGCGGCTGACGCCGACGCCAGTAGCAGCAATATCATCATCGGTGGTCATGGTTTAAAACGCGGTGAAGCATCAGCAACTGCGGAAGCGGAAGCGGAAAGTGATGTCAAAACCTTTCTACTATAAGATGCGCGAGTAAAATGGCACTTGCACGCATGTGATTTCCTTTCAATCATAACGTAGCGGAAAATATTATACATCATGATTATATGAACTGTTCTAGATGAAAGCACGATTATACCAACAGGAATTAAAAACTATAATAAAAAAGCAGTGGTTTTGAAATTCGAAACATGTAATAATAAAACATATATTGTTATAGCAAATGCATGAGCCTTTCCTTAAGTACGATGTATTCTATTTAATAGCGATACAATTATGTATATCAGTTTAATATTGATAAATTTCAATATACCATAAGAATTCGAATATTTCTATATTTATAGAACACTCTACTACAAGCTATTACAAAACTATTTACCATTCAAACAGAAAACAAGATTTTATGGGAAAAACATTTCTAATGTGATTCTATTTATGAACAAAATAAAAAATATTTAACCAAAATCATAAGTACTTTCAGGCTAAATATTTTAAAATTTTGTGGTGTGGGAATATATTTAAACTAGTTTTCGGATAGGTACTGCGTTCGTTGTGAATTTGTTTGCAATGTTTCATAGAAATATTTACGATGGACGCAGCACCGACTCGGAAACTAGATTATTACGGAAGATAGATTAATTTTTCAGATTAGATTTTGCTAAACACAATTGAGAAAGCCTTACAATGTAGTCAGGGAACATTGTTGTTTACTTTGTTGTGTAAGAATAGTAAACTAATTTTAAAAATAATTCCACGGTTATAATAAAAAAAAATTTTAAGATTCGTTGAATATACAGGAAAGAATATCTCATTTTAAAAGACCCATTGAAATATCTCAGAAACACTGCGTTAAATCGAAAAATGCTTAAGACAAAAGTTATTTAGCTTGAAGGAAGACATAGGACAGCGATAGCATTTTGTTTATAGATGGCTCCATTTTCGAGATATTTACTGATTATCAATTTTCTTAAATGGAAATCCAAATTTTTTATTATGCCATCTTTTTCTACCAATTAATTTGAATAACTTTTGTCTGAAACATTTTTTTATCTGCTTAATATATTTTGAGATATTAAAGGAAAACTTGATAACTTTTCCAACATTTACCTTACGATATCTCACTAACTATTCGTTGAAAGAAAAAATAGTATTAGACTTTTTTACTTTATTTACTATCAAGAATATACTACTATAATAGTGCTCTAACTTTTATTAATTTAATAATTTTGAAATTTCCGAAGATCGATAAGTTAGTAAAAGTTAGGGCACTATTATAGTAATATATTCTTGATAGTAAATAAAATAAACAAGTCTAATACTATTTATTCTTTCGACGAATAGTTAGTGAGATATCGTAAGGTATCGATAGCTCAGAAACGCAATGTTTATGCAGATATTGTATATGTATATGCTCAAAAAACATATTTTTTATATGTATAAACATTTTTATATACGTATAAGTTGGTAACGTTATTGATAGATAACACACACACACGCACGCGCGGGCGCGCGTATTAATATTTTTAGTTTTATTCAGATGCGGGCGTATTTTCATTGCAGTTTGTCATTTATTTTAATATCTTTTTGACATAAAATAATCAACTTTGTTTCCTGATAATACGTATTATTACTAATAATATAATATATTGCATTAAATATTGCAGTAAAGTGCACTTTATAAAAGTATATTTTCTTGCAATAATTGATAATGCTGGCATTACAGATGTCTCTATCAAAATAGTTTGTAAAACATATTCATTTAACCTTTTGGATGCTATGGACACATATATTGATGACATATATGGACAATATATTGATTTGCTCTAAAAATTAATTACATATATAAAATAGTTGACATAACATTCTTACAAATAATAATACAATTACAAAATTGTGAAATTACATAGTTTCTATTTATTTAGTCATATAATATTTACATGTGTTCAAAAGTATTGAGCCGTATTCTTGTTGTGACTTTATGAGCCTGGTTTGTTTACGTTTCTTATGAAACTCTTTCGTAAATATTTGCTTTAACTAAGATTCAGTCTATTGTCTACCGCAATACCGAAACATACAAGCCTTCAGTTACGTGAAGCCGTGATTAATCTTTCTCAACAAGGAAAGGTTTCTCGCGAAATTGCTAATTGCTTATTAATTGATAAAAGTACTGTAAATAGGATTATTGTTAAATATAAGTTGAACGAACTCTCTAGCTGATAAACCACGAAATAGTAGACCTCGCAAAACTACAAAGCGCGTTGATAAAATGATTAAAAGAATGTTGATAGCAGATGTTAGAAAAACTGCCATGGATATTTCTCGAGAACTACGAGAAGAAAATCTTGCTGCTGTTAGTCGAAGTACAATCTTGACGTCTAAAGGAAGTAGGACTTTTAGGATGTGCTGGTGTAAAAAAATTATTAATTAGTGCAAAAGTAAGAAAGTTCGATTAGATTTTACAAGGGAATTTGAATATTGGACTGAAGTTGATTGGCGAAAAGTACTTTTTTCTGACGAGTCAAAGTTTCAGTTATTCGGAAGTGACGGTAAAAAGTATATACGACGTCTGACAGGTACAAGATATAACTCAAGATACCAAATTCCTACCATAAAACATGGTGGAAGTAACGTGATGGTTTGGGGGTGATTTTCTTATAATGGAGTTGGTCCATTGGTTGAGATCACGGGTACTGTGGACGCTATAATGTATCGAGATATATTGATACAGCATATGCTGCCATATGCAACTTGAAACATGCCACATAGTTGAATTTTCCAACAAGATAACGATCCCAAACATTCATCAAAACTAATGCAATAATTTTTCATCATGAAAAAAATACGAGTTCTTGACTGGCCTTCGCAATCGCCGGACTTGAATCCTATTGAGGATTTGTGGCAAGAACTCAAACTAGGTACAGGAAATAAAAAAACATTCCAATGAAGCTGAATTGTGGCAAGATTTGCAAACTCAATGGCAAAATTTACCTCAAGATCGCATTTCTAATGTAATAGTATCAATGCCTCGCCGTTGTGCTGCAGTGATTGCTTCTAAAAGCATGGCAACAAAGTATTAAGTTAAAAAAACGTTGACAACATTTTCTGTTATTATTTTTCAATAATATATTTTTCTTATGCATAAGAAAACTTTTTGGCGCAATACTTTTGCATTGTTTGTAATAAAACATTGTGTAGAAATGAAGTATTTAGAATTATTAAGAGTTTGTAAAGTTCATATACAGTCTGTAAAATAAGAACGTGCACGGGTTAATGTGTAGAAAAATTTATTTTTAATGATTTTTAAGTACATGGATTTGTTGTCTCCATGAGAAGAAAAATGCTATACCATTAATAATGAGTCCAGCCACCACCGGCATTGATAATTGCCTGGCATCTCCGAGGCATACTTCCCACTAAGTTGACTGCGTATTCGTTCGGTAAAGACCTCCAAATGAGACGAATTTGTCGTGTCAGCTGCTTCAAAGTGCACACTCTTTTTCCTCGAAGCTTGTGCTTGAGATATGCCCACACATTTTCAATAGGATTTGCATCTGGCGACTGCGATGGCCAATCAAGTGTGACGATGCCAGACTGCTCTTTCCACTCGGTGCAAAGCTTGCTCCGGTGTTTTGGGTCGTTGTCTTCCTGTAAGATCCAGTCCTCGTTTTTTTTTATGAAGCATCGTTCAGCAATCGGCAACAAACACTTCTCATAAATTTTAAGCATTAAGATCAGGTTCCGCTTAAACAAATTCACAATTTTTTTTCTATATTCGGCGTCACTTTGCCTATCAAGCCACGTTCTGGCAAGTCATCGACATTTTTGATCTTCTTATATTGCTAAACCCACTTAGCGACGAACGATTTTGACTTTTCCATATATTTAGCAGCCACTGCATATGACATTTTTGGTCCTTTGGGGTGGGAACAAAGGAATACAGCCTCGTAGCGCGATGCGTATGCGACACTCATGACGGTTAACGTGTTTCTCAGGTTAGAGTTCGATGCCAACTGAATCTTTTGTGACAAAGCATTCACAACAAAGATTTCATCTATCGGCTCACAAAAAAACTAGGACGATATTTGAAGCCAACTGCCATTTATGCCGTGCACGCTCTTACTTTACAGACTGTAATTGTAGGACAAATAAATATATTTTGTTTATATATATGTGTAAAGTTTTTAGAGCTCATTATGAAATGCATATATAATAATAATTGTGTGGCTCAAAAGTTTTGCACGCCACTGTATGCATTTATCAATTTTTTCGATCTCATACTGCACTGACAATTATCAGTGTATGAGATGAGTATATGTGCGTTGCTTAACAACAACAATAAACAAAAAAAAAGAAATTCCGCTTATATCTATTTTTATAGTTATATAGTTTTATAGTTATTTTCTATTTTTTTCGTTTAACAAATAGATATTTCGTATCAAAGTGTTCGGATCAAACGAGCAGTGCACGATTAACAAGAAGAAAATGTATCTGTAAAAACATAAAAAAAGGAGTGATACGCGACATGAATGCAGGAAATACGATATCGATTCGTACATTGATCATTATTTTAAGGCTGATCATACCCAAGTAAACTATTAATTTTAGTAGATTTGAAATAGATAGTCTTAATTTTTTTACATAATAATTAAACAATTTTAATCATATCAATGTATATAAAAGTTTTATTTCATGCAAAATGAATCTAGTGTAGATGTAATGTATTTATGTGATTTAAAGATGAATATTTTATTGTTTAAAATATAAGTTTAAATATAAGTTTAAAGTTTTCCATATATTTATCAAGTTCAAATATTCAGATTTATTAATAAGGTTCAGATTCAATAGTATTAATATTTTAAAATTAAGACATGTTTTAAATTTTAATGTTTCTAATAAAATAATTTATGCTCGAAAATAACTTCCTTGCATTATTTAATTTGGCACTGAAGAATTACAATTATTACTTAGTTGCGTTTTGTATAATCAATCAACAGAGTCCATATTATGCGGAAAAGTATTCCGTCCTCAGCAATCGCAACTGCGAACAGCGTACCGTTCACACAGAGCGTTTCGGCCGGGAATATTCAGTATTCAAAAGGTTAAAAGTATATTTGTATACAATGTACGTCTATTTTAATATGTGTTAATGTACATTTATTTTAATATGCATGGTTTCTGTTAAAACAAGTCAAGATATCTGATAAGATAATTAATTTTTATTAATACCCTTGGTAGCACACATTTCGTCAATCTTTTTGTTAATTTTTATTCTTGTCGATGTAATTGCAACGTAACATACAATGTTGATTACTCGAAATTTGTCTGTTCCGCTTTAGTGACTAAAAAATTGTTGATTCTGTTTTCTCTATCTCTTTTTCTACCATTTTTTCTTCATTATTCTCGAAGATGCTTCGGCGCTGGCACTAGCGGAAGCTTCAGCAGAGGCTTCTTCGATCCCATGTAAATACATGCCCTTCTTCACAAACATTTTATGTCCTTCATATCCCTTGTGTCCCTTGTGTCCCTTGTATTCGTTGTGTCCCTTGTGTCCCTTGTATTCATTGTGTCCTGCGCGAGCAAGAGCGATAGCCTGAGCAATCTCTTGAGCCGATGCGCCATTGTCATTTCCCAATCCAACGACTATTCCATCTCTAAGAGCATTGATAGCTGATGCTTGAGCAGCAGCTCTAGCCTCAGTAGTAGATGCATCATAGTCAGCTTTAGCAGAAGCCGCCTGTTGATCGGCGCTGGCCTTTTCTAGTATAGCAGCTGCCAATTGCTGGCTGCGCAAAGCGGAAGCCTGTGCTGCTCCTGCTTCTTCAGCACTCATTGCCGCCATGCTAGCGGCATTGACGTCTGTTTGTAAGACTGCATTAGCCTTGGCGTGAAGAGCAGATGCAGCCGCAGCTGAGGCAGTGCTCGCTGTCGCAGCCTTATTATTCATTGCCGCAGATTCTTCCATGTGAATCAACGTCGCTAACATAGCAGCTGCATTGCGATTGGCGTTTTCAGCTTGTCCATTAGCATAGGTCTGCGCAGAATTGGCCGCTTTTACATTCTCTATAGTACGATCGACCGCATCTTTTGTAGCTGCGGCTGCCGCCTCGGCTCTTCTGGATGATACAGTTGCTTTGGCAAGAGCTTGAGAAGCCGCTTCACCCTTAGCTTCCGCGATTTTCTGGGTTTCTAGTGCCATCTTGGTGATGGCTAATGCCTTAGCGGATGCTTCTGCTGCAACTTTGGCTATATTCATATAAGCTTGATCATAATAAGAAGTTGTTTTTTTAATAGATGCTAATGTCTCCGCAGCTGCGTTGGCACTGGCTTTGGCATTTTCTAAGCCAATGCTGACCTCTTTCCAACCTAGGCCAAGTTTGGGAGCACCGTTTATCTTACCGACTGCACCCAACACTACTTTGTTAATATTGAAAACTGACTTGTCGATTTTCATATCCTTATGATGTTCACCCTTCTTCAGTAGAGGTACTAATATCCGCATATCCTTACTATCTGCTTTGGCACTAGCAGATGCAGATGCGGATGCGGAAGCTCCCGATTTTGACCCAAAATGGTCCCCGCTAGCTAGTCCCCAAGTAATGAGGGACGTCACAAGTATCGCTGGAATCTTCATCTTCGACGGAACTTCGTAGATTGGTACCAAATCATTGGAACTTGCGTATTATATACCGCGCCGCACAATTGTACAAACATACAATATCACAGTCGCACATGTCGAAAATATTGTTTCTGAAATCTTCGAAAGTCTTCACCTTATCCTCTGGGGAGTTTGCTAAGCTGCTTCTATTTTGTTTGTAAAAGTGTTTTCACTTATAATCATTCTTTTATAAAGAAGAAAAATAGGAGATAGGAAAGTTATTTGTTACATATATATATTTAAATAATTTTTTGACAATTAAGTTATAAACTAGATGTATGTTATAAAATAACTTCTTGAAAACTGCATGTTTATACTACAAAAAAAATATCTGTAATTCGTTTTTTAATATTAATAACAAAATGTATATTAATAAATTGTATTTGTAATAATTAATCTTATATATAGCGTAAGTTCACAGATTTAAATTATTTTGGATGCAATCCCAGAGATAAACATGAAAAGAGTAAGACAACTAAAAATTTGTGTAAATTGAACCAAAAATAAAAATTAATGTGAAGAAAGTAAAAAAGAAGAATAAGATATTATATTGCATTTTACAGATTGATATATTATATCAATATTATATTATATTATCACAGATTATAGATATATAACCATATACAAATATTAAAAAAAGAAAAAAAATAGTAAAGAACGTACCAAGAAAACGCACTCATATACTTAATTAAATTTAAAATATTAAAATAAAATTTTGTTTAATATATTCCGTGCTGAGCTGATTTTATGCGACTTTCCATTTAGATTATTTGGTATTTTAAGTAAAAGCAGATATGTTATTATAAAATATTCCATTATATTCATTGATATATTTATTGATTCATTGATAAGTAACTAACTCATATAAAATAATCATCATCAATATCGTATATCAACGGTAGTATATGCGGCTTGAATGGAAAATTTAATGTGTACCATCGGTACACGTTGTACGGAACATGTTAAATATTTATATTTGTCACCAAAAAAGTGATGTCCTAAAATTAGGCCAAGAACGAATAATTTCTGCAAAACTAGTAATATTCAAATATTATTCTAATTGAAAAGAATTATTAGAAATAATGTTTCATAAATAAGCGTTAAAAAGTTAATGTTGATTGACGTATATTAAATATTTTTATCAATTTTGAAGCTTTTTGAGCTTCTTCAATAATAACAAGTTTTAAAAAAAGTTTAATCGAGAATGAGAAATATGCACATTTGATGTTCCAGAATCGCATTAAAATACAAGTTTCTATAAACATAATAAATTCTATAAATCATGTGTGCATCCGTGCATGTATTCGTGCATGTGAATGTGCGTGTGAGTATATGTGTGCACGCTCGCACGCGCGCCCGCGCGTTTGTATATGTGTGTGGTTGTGAATATATCATATTTTATAATAATTGCATTAAAACATCTATACTTAAAACAAAAGTTAAGATTTTTGCAAGTTTATATGTATTTTAATACATCTATCCAAGCACTTCAAGTACGTATATAGAAGGTGAGGAAAAAGTATCGGAACACCTGGATAACTTTGAAGGGTGAAGTTTTCAAGAAAAATATCTTAGATAAAAGTTACTAACAAGGGGAGGCGTCAACCAAAAACGGTTTGGAACGAAACTTACGGAGTTAATAGTACTTGACTATTAGTAACTCATGGTAATAGCATTCGATGCAATGCCTCTTCGTTTTCGAGAAAAAATCCCAAATTCCAAAAGTTAGGGTACTATTACAATAATATATTCTTGATAGTAAATAAAGTAAAAAGGTCTAATACTATTTTTTCTTTCGACGAATAGTTAGCGAGATATTATAAAGTAAATGTTGGAAAAGTTATCAAGTTTTCCTTAAATATCTTAAAATATATTAAGCAAATAAAAAAATGTTTCAGACAAAAGTTCAAATTAACTGGTAGGAAAAGATGATATAATAAAAAATTTGGATTCCCATTTAAGAAAATTGATAATCAGTAAATATCTCGAAAGTGGCGCCATCTATAAACAAAATGCTATCGCTGTCCTATATCCCCCTTCAAGCTAAACAATTTTTATCTTAAGCATTTTTCGATTTAACGCAGTGTTTCTGAGATATTTCAATGGGTACTTTAAAATGGGACACCCTGTATACAATAATATTGCATATTGGATTCTACGGGAAAAAACAAGTAAATTTTATTTTGTTTAGAAACATTTGTTTGGAAAATGCTTCTATCAAAAGTTATAAGCATTTAAACCTTTAGCGATTTCATTCATGATTGAACTCCATTAACACAAAGTTGCGTTCGCGATAACAACAAAAACAAAAAAGCCCTTAGAGTACATACTTGATGTTAACCAAAAGAAACATAAACACATTTATCGGGAAACGTATCTGTGATCTGTATTTACGTTTCCTGTCAATGGAGTTCAATCATGAAAGAAATCGCTAAAGGTTTAAATATTTATAACTTTTGATAGAAGCATTTTCCAAAGAAATGTTCCAGATAAAATTTGCTTGTTTTTTCCCATAAAATCCAAATATGCAACATTTTATAAGGGGTTCCATTTAAAATTATGAAGTTACTCCTGTCCTCCCTTAAAGGGGAAGCGGGAACGACTTTACGCCTATGTAGTTAGAGAGGCCTCTCGAATACATGAGACTTCGTTATGAACAATTTTTTTATTTGATAAATATTTTTAAAGTTATGGACTTGTAACGCTTTACGTGGGCCACCCTGTATGTAAATACTTGTTACAAATTATTAGGGTACTGACCGAAAATGCCATTTTCCATGCTGTAGACCAGAAAAGTTGTGCGTCACGTGGCAGACAATTCTTTATACATTTAAGTCCACTTACTTTGTTTCTTTGTTTCGTCATGTAACAGTTACAATGCATGATGTATCTAAAGGTAAATACTTAGTGGATTTAAATGTGCAAGAAATTGCTCATCATGTAACATAGGTCTGGGAACTTTTACAGTTTATACCCTAGTAGCACACTTCATTGGCGTTACATTGGTGTTACATTGGCTACGGTGACATAAGTTGGGGTTACATTGACCCAGTGTATCCCAATATACAGCCAATATTGGTTAGATGTTAAATTACAATATATCGCCAATATTGCATAGGATTGTTATACCAATATTGACTTACATTGGGGTTACATTGGCCCAATGTATCCTAATATGCAGCCAGTATTGGTTAGACATTAAATTACAATATATCGCCAATATTGCATAGCATTGTTATACCAATATTGACTTACATTGGGATTACATTGGGCAATATTGGGGGTCCATTTTGTAGCCAATATTGACCCAACGATATGTGCTACTAGGATAGCAAAGAAACGCGATGTTTTTAGATATAGATTCTTAAATAGAAAAAATAATAAATTACAACCTCTATGTATCCTAATAGTTTTTAATGGGTATTTATATATATTCTGTATATTTAAGGATGGATAAACTATAAAATATTGGTTATGTAAACGAGCAAATTTATACCCCAATGGTTCAAAAAGTTATAATAAGATTACGAGAACAATATAAAGAAAATGCATATAACAAGAAATTTTTATCGTATTCATTACGAGCATGAACAGATATGCCAGATGGAAGACTGGTCTCTACGAAAGTCGCGTATATGTGCGCTCTACTTTTGGGTTAGCTTCAGATAGTACAAGAAGACAGATATAGTATATTCTTGTTTACTTTGTTGTCACTGACAAGAAACGAGCAATGCCGCCTTCATTGTCGATTCGGTTAGAACGAGATATAAATATGTTTACCATTTTTCATTATCCGAAATCAAAGAGCGGAGTGCATATGTACGTGATTCCCAGTTATGTATATTTTCTTTTTCACTGTAATTCTTGTATCACTGGGTCCTTCATCTAATATTTCTGAGCAGGAGAGCAAGAAGTAAACTCGCATTTATACAGTGTAGTCCATTAATACTATTTATAGAAATTATTTTTATTATTATAAACAAGAAAAAAGTTAAGGTACTATGGTTCTGAGAGGCAGGTTATATAGTAACAATAATTTTGTTATAGAGGAAGAAAGAGATGACTTTAAGGTCACTTTCATTTTTTTAATAAAATGATTATTTTTTATGCTAAAATTTTATACAATCATGTAAAATCTAAGAGAAATATTAGGGATAAAGGAAGTATTCTACAACTAATATTTCTTGATACATCTAACTTATTAAACTTTAATTTAGCTAATTAGATGAAGCCGTAGCTGATGCATAAATTATTAAATATCATAAACGTTGATCACGAAATTGAATAAGGCAGGTTTTAGGGTATACATATTCTAATATTCTTTTTTATTGTTCTATAAAACTCAAGCATAAAAATAATCATCTCATTAGTCTATCACAGAACTTATATCATCATTAGTTATTTACGAAATGATTCAAATATGTTTCTATTGAAAACTTTATAAGTTACAGAAATAAGGCTCATTTTGAATGTAAATGTTCGAACCATCTCCAAGTTCCAATGTGTCTATTTTTCGGGTTTGCATCTATAAACTGCGTGTATTTTATTTCAATAACTCATACCGGTCATAACGTTGTAAATAACCGTATATTAATTGAATAAATGTAGTCAATCTCATTGTTCGAATTTCGCTCGCGTGTGTATTTGACATCAAGGAACCGATTACATATAGTCACGACTTTTAATATAATTTATATAAAAATGTGTGTTATACAATACGTAGTGGCTGACATTGATCGTTGTAATAAAAGCATATTCGATTTCTGAACGCTGATTCTATAGAGATAAATGCGTATAAGATATTATATAGAGATGTTGAATTTATATACATTATTTTATCGATGCATTTATTGTTATATTCTACATTTTACACTCAAAACAGACTTTATTTGTGTATTTTATTGTAGTACATACAGTCTCATCACAATATTGATGAATAAACATTGTTATATAGAATAATTTATAATCGAATAATTAGTAGTTCCGAGTGAGTAGAATACTAAGCTATTAGTAGATATATTTAATATAATATATCATATGTACCTTCAAATAGAATGTACCAAATTGAATTTATATAATGAAATTTATATAATGAAACACATTTGTTGGATTTCTTTTAATTAAAAAAAGGATTTAACTTAAAAAGAGGATAACCTACAATGAATTATTACTAACTTGTTCATCTCGAACTAGTATTTGCGATGTAAAAGTTTGTTTTGTAAAATGTGCATATTACTGTACTAAAATGTCTTTTTTTAGAAAATCTTTTTATACTTCTTTTTTACCTTGAATAAGATAAAAAGGACATACCATTACCTTGAATAAGGTAGTTTAATATTTTTTTATTTTAATATTCTTTAAAAAATATTATTAGTATAAGTATTTTTTTGTCGTTCAAATTGTTAATACTTTTTATAAACTTTTTAAACTATTTTAAATATTTTTTATTTGTGCTACTATATAGTTATATTTTATATTACGCTAGACATCTGCTACATAGTTCTCAATAAAATATCTCTCATGTAAAAGTTAATTTCAAAAAATTAAATACTCGAATACGCATTTTTTACGGATTTTTGTGATTATTGTTTTTTACATCGCCGTTTTTCTCGCAATTGAAACAAATCCATTATGATTAATCTTATCGTGAATACATCGTAACTTTTCTTCCTGAAGATTTTGCCTTTTAGTTTTAGACTTTCGGTGCTGCAGTAATTTCTGACGCTTTTCCTGCTTCTATCTCGGTTGGCGGTGGTAAAGTCGGAATTTCTGGATATTCTAATTTAGCTCCATCTTCACACTCGAAGATCGGACAACAGTCGGGGAAGCTTGCAGTTTTGTTAGTTTTATCAGATAGTTTGCATTTGGGATTAGCCTTGGGTAGTGGACCGCAGTCTTCTACCAGCTCGAATAAACGACCAGAGTTGTCATCGGCGGGCACACAGGTGGAACGACCACAAAAAGGTGACAGCTCCCACGTCTTCGTTGGCTCAATAGTTGCGCATTTTGTTGATGCAAAGCACATGCCAGGAAAATCTGCAATGTACAAAAATTTAATTAAAGGATATATCTCTGATCTTCAACTTCGATGAGAAATCACCTTCACTTTTATATGAAATAAAAAATGATATTACAACTATCGACAAAGTAAGAGTAAAGATTAACTTAATAAGGTTTAGTGTACATAAAAAGTTTCGCTATTTGTTAGCCTTCTGTCGGCAAATTTTGTATAAAATTGGTATAAATAATAACTGCAAGAAAGCAGTTTCATAAAAATAATTAAAATATTAGGTGAGTACAAAAATTCGTGTCTGATTTTAATAAATGCCATTATTGGTGTTGCCATCTTATTAAAAAAATTTTACATATTATATTAGGTGAGCAAATAAGTTCTGGGCTTTAGATATACAATCGAAACCACAATTTAAATTTTACTTATTCTCTCACCCTTTTACGGTTTTCAAGCGTTGATATTCGGCTTCTTAAAATGCCATGCAGTTTGGTGTTTGATGCACATAATCTCAAAAATCAGTAGTGTTCATGATGGCAATAACAAAAGAGCGATTTTCCATACATTTCACGTTTCATCTGAAGAAAAATGCTACTGAAGCTATTAAAATGATTTGTGGTGCATATGGTGAGAACGTTGTAAGTCATTCTACGTGTAAAAGTGGTATTAAAAATTTCGCCAAGGAGATTTCAGTCTTGAAGATGAACTGCGTGCTGGACGCCCTCAAAAGATTGAAACGGACGAACTGCAAGCATTGCTGGATATAAAGTTTGCGCCAACTAAAAAGGAACTTGCAGAGCAGTTTGACATTACGCGGCAAGAAATTTTCGTATGTTTACATACAACGGGAAAGATTCAGAAGGAAGGCAGATGAATTCCGCATGAACTCTGAAAACAACAAAAATCGACGTGATACCGCACTCACTTTGCTTTCAAAATTACAGAGAAAGGATGTTCTGCACAAAATCACTACAGACGATGAAAAGTGGATTCTTTATGATAACTCCAAGCGCAAAAAACCATGATTTAACCCTAGTCAACCTTCGACGTCGACGCCAAAGCCCAATATCCACGCTAAAAAAGTCTTGCTCTGTATCTGGTGGGATTGGAAAGGAGTGTTGTATTATGAATTGTTACAGCTGGGTGAAACAATCACAATAGATTGTTATCAACAACAATTGACTAATTTGAGTGATACATTGGAGGAAAAGAGAGTATTTACTAGCGAAAGACGTCATAAAGTGATCCTGCTTCATGACAATGCCCGATATATGTTGCGAAAGCGATTCAGGACCATATCTTAGCATTAGGATGGGAATTTCTCCCGAAGGCGGCATATAGCCCAGACATGGCGCCTTCCAATTACCATCTATTCCGCTTGCTGCAGCATCACTCGGCTGATATATATTTCGTGACACTTGCAGAGGTACGAAAATGCATTGATAAGTTTATCACGTCGAAGCCGTGGGCTTCTATCATCAGGAAATTTGCAAGTTGCCCGAAAGATGGCAAAAGATCATCGATGCAAACGGGGAATATTTTGCTGATTATAAATCTTTTTGTTTGTTTTTAAATAAAGATTAAATTTTGCAAAAAAAAGCCCACAACTTTTCTGCCCACTTAATATTTATATAATATTTTATAATTGTTATTTTTTTAAGTATAATATTTTCGAAAAATACATAAAAACATTATTATAAAGTATTCTTGAAAATTTAATCTTTACTTATATAAATATTTTTTTATTTTTTATAACTTTTATATTAATGACATTCAGATGTATGAATTAATTTGATGCCTTTACATGAAATCAATTTTAAGTCTATTTTAAATTTAAATATTTGTTGCCCCGTTTTGGGATTTTAAAATGCCAATCTTAATATTTAAAAGCATTATACAAGATATCCGGTAATTAGCTGCTAAGCCGAAGTGTGAAAGTAGATTGGGTTAAGCTGAAAAGAAAAGTAAAATACAATTTTGCAAGAATTGCAATAATTATCGAGTTATTGATGACAGAAATCTAACGAGTAAGTGCGCGCCGAGATGGATCATTGGAAGAGCGTCATAGTCTCGGGCCATAGTGCAGCCCAGTCGGCCCAGCAACTATTGGTGGCGTACAGCAAGACGTAAGTGCGGTGAAATAAAATACGAATAGCGGCATATTGTAACTTTTCCCTCGCCGCGCACTGGCAATAGTTGCTGGATCGACAGGGCCGTGTTCTTATCGAAATGGCTACAACGTTTCTCTAATCATTTATGTCAGCGCGCTCCCACTCCTCAGATTTCTGTCACTAATAACTCGATAATTATTACAAATCTTGCAAAACGATATGAGATTTTTATATTTGTTTCTTTTTTAACCCGCTTTATGTCTCCATGAGCTCTGCAACATTAGTTATGAGACACCCTGTATATACAGTCACAGATTATTTGTACCAGCCGATTTTTTCATAAACGTGACAGTTTAGAAAAAAAGTTCAGATGAAAGTTGTTTGATTTTGAGGGGAACATAAGACAGCGATAGCATTTTGTTTACAAATGGCACCACTTTCGAGATATTTACTGATCATCAATTTTCTTAAATAGAAACACTTTTTTATTATTTGTACAATTTTTTATTATATTATCCTTTTCTACCAATTAATTTTAATAACTTTTATCTGAAACATTTTTTATTTGCCTAATATTTTTTGAGATATTTAAGAAAAACTTGGTAACTTTTTAATCATTTAGCTCATGATATCTCGCTATTTGTCGGTAGAAAAAGTGGTATTAGATTTTTTTACTTTATTTGACGTCAAGAATATATCGATACAATAGCGCCTTGATTTTTGTTAATTTGATGATATTCAAATTTCCAAAAGTTGATAATTGTAGTTATATAGCAGTTTGTTTTTCTTCTGGTTTAATAAACATTATTTGGACACTTTTTTATTTTCATACTTTTAACGTATCTTAAATACCTTGCAGGTATTAATTTTTAAACTGTTATTATTAAATATTTAAACTATTTGTTTTATTATCATATTTAAACTATTAGTTTTATTGCCATAATACTCATATAAAAATTAAAAACTTTTATGTACTTTAAAATCCACAAGAATAATAGGCGGTAATAAAATAAATTAAAAAGTATTTCTCTTTAATAATGTAATTAAATAATAAATTTTACGGTATATGTATAACCCCCTATTTCGAATTATCAAAACTTTCTGATATTATTACTTTTTAATTTTTGATATCTTAATTTTAATGGGTGTGAATAGAAAGTGAATGGTAGACTATCAAATTGGTTTTCTAACTATACGCCATAAAGTATATACATGCTTCTATGTTACTATATTATTAATTAGATAATTAAAAACTTTATTTATTAATTATTATGCGATATTGTTAAATTTTTCCAAATGTATATAAAAAAATATAAAATCTTCTGGAACCCATATAATGTTTTACTTATCATATATAATCCTTTTACTCTGAATTGATGTAACTTTAACTATGATATGACTATTCTTATAGAAAAGTTTGAATACTTTTTAGTGCATTTTCTTTTATCTTCTAGTAAGAAGCTCCAAATGATATGCAACATACAAATTTCATTTTTTCAATACTGGATTAAATGCGACAGCAAATGTAACGGATGACAGCATTATGGGGTTAAATGTATTATAAACGACAGCCTTAATATCCATTTATAACGACAGAGGCGATGTTGCCATTATCAGTAATGAATGTGCTAGAAATTTCAAGGAGAAACACTTTCACTGTCATACACCGGGTTGGTAGTCCCCGCTTTTACGTAACGCGATGACGAACACTTGGATCGATAAATGCTTGGGCGCGTCGTTACAATGTGCGTTGATGGTTGAATTAACGGCTCAGTTACATCAGCCCTTCGAGGTTGCTTTGATGACTCACGGCATTCACGGAAACATTTAACTTGGGTTACGATTGAGGTAGAGATAACACAGTGATGGTAGAGAAGGTAAAAATAATGACAGAAAAAATATAACAAGAGAAGTTCTAAGGAATTATAATGATAATTACTGGTTCCAATAAAAAATTACGAAATATATATAAAAATGATGAACCAACACAACGTTATGTTTTAAAGACATGAAAGACATTTTAGAATTTCAAAAATGTCATAAAATTTTCAAAATAATGTCTTTCGAGTTTTATGTTTCTAAAGACGTTTCTAAGATACATTTTCTGATTTAACCTTTAATATATCAAGGGTATATTAAAAGTTAAAAGTTAAAGGTTTTCAATCAATGTTATTTACCACAAGCTAGAGACTCTTGCGTTTTTTTTGTAGTTATTCAATTGTTTGATGTTGCAGTTGACTCAAAATGCTTTTCAGATTGTTTACTTACGTGATACTTTATTAACTTGTGTGAACTTTAGTGACTCGAGCATTGTTAATGACAAATTTTGATGTTATAATTACAACAATGTATGAAAAAAATTACCCTCTAGTTATTTTCAGAGAATCTATCTCAGTATATTAAGGGTTAAGAACAATTTGTCAAATGTTTGTTATACAATGTTAGTATGTTCAAACATTTTTTTCTAATAAAATATTGAAGTATATTGTAAACTACTTATTTTTTCATCTTATTCTACGGTTTTTCTATCCAGAATTTTTTTTATGCAGAATATTTTAAGAGATAAATTTATATAAAAAATAAAAGATTTCATTTGAAATAAAAACATAATTGCATTTTCTGGTGCATTGTTGCACCGACAAAAAGATTTACTTCATAAGAAGGTAGTATTCATCAAGGCTATTTAACTTTGCCTTATATTATTTTTTTTCTATCGTTAAAAATATAACCGATATTAACTATTACGGATCTGTGACTCATATACACACTTACGCGTATATGTATGTATGTGTGTAACAGAACATATTATATAATAGTTATATATATTTTTAATAACATATTATTTTTACCCGTTATATTTTTGTTATATAGTTACAATATAATTTTAATAAGAAGTTATAACTATACTACTATAA